CTCTTGCACATTGTAATAATTATTGCTTCCTGCTGGAAGTAATGTTAAATATAATTTGAGGTACATGAAAATAACCTTTTTGTGTTTGAATATTATTAATCTGCTAGTATTTATATGCTAGCCTTTTAGGTTGAAATTAATACCAATGTATTTAAAAATAAGGATACATCATTTTCTAACTTTTCTTTTATTTTTATTATTACACATGCAAAATTTCTTTTATACTGTGATAATTTTATACAGTCACAATGTTTATATATAAAGATTCAGTAATGCATTAGAAATTATGAGAATTCATTTTACATTCAAAGTATATCTATTTTATACAAATTTAAATGGATACAAGGAAACCATTGATGTCAGTATGCAATATTCAGAAAAGAAGTGGTCTTTACTATTTTTAATTCCATAATAATTATGTGCTAAATAACTTCATATTACCTAATCATTTAATCATAATACTTTAAAAGTACTAATGTATGTATCAATCTCGAGTTTTTAAAGAAGTACACTTTCCATAATTGTTCAAGTTATTGCTTAAAAGAATTTAATACGTTTAAAAATAGTATACATGTTTGATAAACAATTAATGAATGAAAATTTAGAAACATTATAGCAAACATTATTTTTGACAAAACAGTCAAAGAAGTGATAAGTCAATTTAAACTGTTTTATTATGAAGGATTAATACAATTGGAAAATAATATAATTAATACCTCCCAGATCGTCCATCTCTGCCTTTATCATCTCTACCTTTTCGGCGATCTTTGGATCTGGATCTTCTGTCGCGAGATCGCGATCTTCGCTTGCGATCACGACCACGAGATCGTGAGCGTGATCTCGATCGACCCTTACCACCTTTCTTTCGACTATATAAGTAACGCCGTAGTTCTCGTGAGATAGGTTTCAAGTGCATGAAATTACAAAATCCTGAACGTGTACATTCTCTACAAGAACATTTCTTTTTTAATAAAATTATTTTAAGTAATTAAAAAAAATTGTTCATATTTTACAATATTTAAATACAACATACCCCATTTCATATTGACGACAGCAGGCTTCTCTAAAGTCAGTAACTGGAGAAAGTTCAGCATAAACTGGTCTTCCACCAAACCATCTGTTATTTAAATCATTTACAGCTCTTTCTGCATCTTCTTCTCTTCGAAATTTGATGTAAACATTTCCAACTAAGTGATCCCCAAGATTATCACATACATTCATTTCCTCAATCTCACCATATTTATCTTCACATTCAACAAATACATCTTCAAAAAAATTGTCATAATGTTCTTGCATTTCCTCATCCGACACATTTGCAACCACTATAAAATATTATAAAATTTCTCAAATTATTATTTTTAATAGTTAATTAGTAAATTAAGTTTCACACAAATGAAATAAAATTTATACTACACTTACAATGAGATCCATCTGCACTTTTTGCTGAATTTTGTGGATTTACATAAAGATTTTGCAATAAACATGTCTGAAACATAGTTTACTTTAATTGTTTCATTTGTTAGTCAATACTAACATATAAAATACATTAAATGTTTAACTGCAAAATAACATAAGAACAAGTGTATTTATATAATTTTTATTTTACAATTATTATTCAAGAACTGAAATTAAGCATAGAATAAGGTGTAGTAATATGTATTTATGAAATAATAAAATAACATTTTAGTAATGTTCAAGAAGGTTGAAAGATTTTAAAGGTTAAGGAAGATATTTTTACCTGACTGAAAGTTGGCTTGTTATGAATTCGTGAACATCGATCTCCATGTCGACAGGCACCAATTTTAAAATAAAATGAACAATTTACTCTGTGAAAATAAGGAAAAGTAGTATAGTTGAAATTTGGTTTGAAGAATGCAAATAAGTAGCAATTCAAAAATTGAACTTACTTGTCTTTTTCTGTACCAAAAATTGATGCCAAGTACTCTGCCATTGTTTCTTATTTCTTAGTATCTTATAACTAAGATACAATGTTTTTTAAAACACGCAAGAAGTCTCTTTGCCACAACATATACAACGTTTTGCGTGCGACTCCGCTCCAAAATGGCGAACGCGGTATCATAAAACGCTCACTTAATAAGTTGTGAGTGGTTGTTCAAGATTCCAAGTTTCATCTCTAGAGGGCATACAAACTTCGTGTATGAAGTTTTTAATACAAATAACAGAAAAATTTGTTGCTCATAAATTTTTCACATTGTGTTTGCATTATGTTCTACGAAACATTTTAAGTAACCGATAAATATTTTAAATTCTTCGCTTAGCAACTCGTGATTTAAACAGATGGAGCTGAGATTCAAAAGAAAAGTGTATGTTTTGTGTAATACGATTTCTTTTTGCTTCTATTGAAGGAATTCATTTTAAAAAGCTATAATTCCAATTTATTATGAAAAACTTATTCTTACGCCATGAGTTCATCTGGTTGTACAGATAAAATGAAATATATTTATCAACTACCATTTTTTGAACGATCGGAACTTTGCAAAATACTTAATCAAAATGACAAGTGGGAAGAACTTGCTGGTAAGTTGTAGAATGATTCTAACATTATACGTAATGTTATTTTATAATTTTTTATAAGAAAGTTCAATAATAAGCTTATATTAAAGAAAAAGTTGGTACTAAATAAGTGATTTTGTTTAGGAACATGGATGGAATATGATGTGTTGACAATACAAAGTTTACGAAAGGAAAAGAATCCAACAGATGAATTATTAACAATGTGGGGTCATCATAATCATACCATATTGGAATTATTTGTTTTATTATCTAGAATGCAGCATTATCAATCTATGGTGCCATTAAAACCATTTGTTGAAGAAAAATTTCATAAGTTACTATATAATGGAGAGGGTAATCTTCATAGAATACTTGGGAAACATCTTAATAAAAATACAAAAGATTTAAAAATAGAAACGCAAAATTTTAATCAAATTGTACCACCAGAACCAAATGTACCAAAAATTATTATAGAACAAAATACAAAGGAAGAATCTTACAAAATTTTGAATCAACCAATGCAAGCTATGCATATTGGAGTTACTCCAAGTAATTCTAACAATTTACTTGTAGCTTCTCTAGCAGCAGCAAATCCTTTACCAGCTTCTTTGCAGCGTGTTCAAAGTAATGGAAAAAAACATAATGATGCAATTATTTTCAAAGCAGAAACAAGCATACCCTGTGCAACTTATAATGAATTAACTATAGCTACAAATGAGTGGAATAAATACAATATATTAGGAAGAGGTGGTTTTGGAACTGTGTATAGAGGTAATGATTGAAATAGTATTGTATTATGTGTTAAATTATATAGAGCTATTGATTTAAATAAACCTTTGGTTGTATTCTTTTTATTGCACAGGCACATGGAAGAATACAAATGTAGCTATTAAGAGAATAGAGAAAAGAGGTGCAGAATCAGATGAAAGTCATATGCTTCAACTACAACAGTCACTTAGAGAAATCAAAATTTTAAATTCTTGCAGACATGAAAATATTTTACCACTATATGCCTACAGTTTAGATGGCAAAATACCCTGTCTTGTGTATCAGCTTATGAAAAATGGATCATTAGAAGACAGACTGTTAGTAAAGCAGAAAACTCAACCTTTATCTTGGATCCAGCGTCATGAAATAGCTAAAGGAACTGCATGTGGTTTACAATATTTACATACAATTCGAGAAAAACCTCTAATACATGGTGATATAAAAAGTGCTAATATTTTACTTGACAATAATTTTGAACCTAGAATTGGGGATTTTGGTTTAGCAAGAGAGGGTCCAGAGAGTGACTCTATGAAAGTAAGTACTTCGTTTATAAACATATATTGTTGTGTATTGAGTTCCAGAAAATATCTTGTCAGTTATTGTTTGTTTATCTTCACTTCAGGTAAGCAAAATTCATGGTACTAGACCATATCTGCCAGAAGAATTTTTATATGGACGAAAATTATCTACAAAAGTAGATACATATAGTTATGGTATAGTTTTATTTGAATTAGCTACTGGTTTATCAGCTTATGATGAGTCTAGATTGGAAAATAGATTTTTAAAGGATTTTATTGATAGTTGGGAAGATAAAGATCTTCCTTTGCTGATAGACAAGAAAGCAGGTGAGAAAGATAAACAGGTTTACAATAATTTAATGGTTTTGGGAAAGTGGTGTGCTAATCATATGGCACAAAATAGACCTGAAATGGATTATGTGTTTAAGAAACTGAATGATTTATGATTTGGTAATGCTTTTATTTTTTATATAAATTGCACGATAATATTATACATATATTGTAGCGTGTATATTTAGTAAACTGTATGTAATGTATAGTTTGAAAATATGTAGAGTTTATATGACAATTTATGAAATTGTAATATAGTTTTTATAAATATGTTGCTACAGCAACAGTTGTATGCAACAAACTTTTATTGGTTCCTAAGGAATCTCTTAACTCTACTTTTATCCTGTAAGTAGCAGATAATTTGTTAAATTACATATCCTGCCTAACACAATCTTTTACTATTCCTAAAAATGTATGTTTTCACATACGTATATTTCATATATACTGAAAATATTTTTGATGTAAATAAAATTGTTGTATAATCAATATCCAAAATATACCTATTTATATGTACTTACAAAATAGAATAAATAACATATAATAGATCATGTGTTTACATTTCGTTTTAAGCATTTTTAATTTAGGCTTAATTAGAATAAATAACATATATCTATCATGGTAAAAAATTATGTTTAATGTAATTAAACAAATTTTTTGAACATAGATAATTCATATATATGATGTATATTGCAATGATGTATATTAAAAATTCATACTTGTTACTCTAGAATTTAATCCTATATTTTATACTTCTATAATAAGATAAGTGAAATGCATCATGAATATGAAATTGTTGAGCTAATAAAGAAAATAATGGAATAGCGGAATGATTGTAACATTTTAGTTCCATCGTAAATATGTAGATATATTTAGTAATGACGAAAACATTATTTTTGTAAAAAATCTAGAAAATTCTCAATTATTGTTCTCATTAAACGTACTTATGTTTATGTTTTAAAAATTATAAAAATGAAAGATGTGAAAATAAATTAGAAAAATTAAACACCTTAATCATGTTATACAGAAGTAAGAAACTGAATTGCAGTTTCAAAATGTTTAAATAATATCAAGAAACCAGTTTCTTCAACTTGAATAAAGAAATTCTATCAATTTTACATAAAATATATACTAAATATATAGGTAACGTTATTTAAAGGTACTACATTAATCAAAAACGGAACATATTTTTGCGTTTCAAAATATGATTGTTCGCAATAACTAACAAATTTGGTTTAATTGAAATACTTTGTTTTATATTGTCTAAAAATTGCAACTAGTACAGAGTAATATACTCGTTGAGAAGAAATATCAAAAGATGCATGAAGTTCGTTTCAAAGTAATGTACTTCCGGTAGTGTAAATCGAAACCGAACAGGATGGTAAGCACAAATTTGTTGAAGTAATTATTGTTTCGACAAAAATATTAAGTACAATAATCGAAATACGTAAGTCATTCGTAATTTTTCTATTTTTACCCTCTACTTTTATATATCCAACAATCATTCATATAATTACAGTCTTTTTTTCAACATACGTGGTTGCTGCGATGAAATCTATTTAAATTCATGCATCACATGCTCTTTTTCATGTACATATCATCAGAAAATATCCACTTTTCTTCGATTCTTGTCGTATTTATATTATTGGTTATGTTACATATTAGCAACATACATATGTACATAATATGCAATATAAACAAACATCACAGCAATATTACTACATTATTGGAAAATTTATGTCCAACTAAACTCGTAATTTATTTTTCTTATTTTTTTTATTAAAATTAGCCTAATAATGAAAAATATTGAAAAAAGATCATTACTAGAGTATTTTTAATTATTTCAACTTGATAAACATGATCGATAGTAACTGAATTGATAAGTACAAAATAAAGTTACATAAATATCAACTGTATTCGATCACATTATATCGAAAGTCGTCGAAATAAATTAACGGAAAAGAATTAAAGCGAGATGCGACAACGTTCTGGTAGAATAATATCGATCTATAACGGGAATATTTTTAGCGCGAAACCCTGAATGTGTTCTGTAACGTAGAATACCTTCCTCCGTATTCCAAGTCAGTCGGATGCGTCGATATCTTTTCTTCTCACGACAAAAAAAAGAGACAAATAATTATCCTTTAGCGAGAAAAACAGATTTTTATTTCTTTCCCCTTCATCTTTTCTAATGTTTTGTTCACGCTAAGCTTCGTGAGTACTTCCGTGAAAATTAGTTAACCAAACAAGTCTGTTTTCGACGTGATTTTCTTGATCGCCGGTAAAATACGTATCGTTGTGTATTGGCCATAATTTAATGGTATTCTTAAATCGCAGCTTTCCCTCCTGTCCAGCGTGACTATCTCCTGTTGCTGATTCACTGTCCACAACATGGATAGTACTGCTAATACAAGCATCGTCACTCCCCCGATGGCGCACAACCCAATTACAACCATCTGTGCTATTGGACCTATGTGAAGCGCCAGGTTCAAGAGTAGTTTCATGTCACTTGGTAAATCTTTGATTACCTGTAAATAAATTTATGAAAATTAAATTTACAGCTTTTTTCGGTCAAAATTATCACATGTTTTTCTGCTTTTAAGTATGTCCATTTAGAAAGGGGACTACAGCCAGTGTCTTATGACTATACCTTACAGACTGGTCAAAATAATCCAGGGTTAAGCCCCATCATACCTGTTCTGTCACTTTATTATCCCATTTAAATGTATTGGGAAACAGTTAGAGGAAATTGTGAAGGAGGGAACTATCTGCGGAGTTATTTACAGTGAGGAATAGTGGCCTTGATCACTCGATTTTGAAAACATTGAATGGTATCGATAGTATGGTTGGGCTTGTGACGAAAATTTGATAAATTTAGATGGAACTATTCTATTCGAGAAGTATCTTATTGTAAAGGGATTAAGATCAGAATGAAGGTTACTCACCAGGTCTGTCCAGAATACTGGTAATGTCATATCGTTGAAAATCGTGATCCTGGGATTGTGGGTTGTATGATGCATAACAAGATTGATCTGTATTCTCGAATTAACGTTCATTGGTATGCCGAATGTCTGTGGAAAATAAACAGGAAGATTGTGTTTCGTGATTCAATGATTTTTCAAATCCAAATCGAAATGTTTTCCCGCGGGATCTTCAAATTTGGGCAAAATAGTACGATCGACGTTCTCGTTGATTTTTAATGATCAGTTTAACGTCAGTTTCACGAGCGTTCGGGATAATGGTTTTTCGATTAGGTAACTCTTAGATGTAGACCGGCTTTCAAATACGTTCTTCTCGCATACCGCGTCTACTTGTGAAATACCTCGTAACACACTGCGTTTCTCGTTAGGGAGAATGTGCCTCTGATAAAAACTTCTCGAGGAGTTACTAGCTTCGCAATGCTTACATAAATTACTGAACAGATATGATCGTTTATGAAATAATTTTTCGTGAATGATAATGAAAGAATGTTGCGCTTAGAAATTGCATTTACCGGTTCCAGAATGATCCTCGAGAGGTGCTTTTTAGGATCCGGGTTAAGACCCTCGATTTTTTCGAATAAACTGGGATCGGAATCGAGCAAATGTGGCAGAGACATCGCTGCTGGAATTTCTGTAAATAATGCACACTTTTAATAGGTATGTAATTTTCATAATAAACAAATTTTTACTGTTCCTTTCAATGCGCTAATAAAAGGACAAAAGATGATTATTAAGAAAATTGTGTGTCAAAGTCAAAGAACAGTATTCTGCTTATTATTATGTCATTTTACAAAAATGTCAAGCGAAGTTCAATCGTTAATGCTCTGCACTATGTGCCTCGCGCAAAGTTCAAACTTTGACATTTGGTGTTACAGTTTGTCGAGTGGGTGATGCTACACTCGCAGGTAGCAGCTCTATCATTCTGTTCAGAGTGTTGAATGTGATATTAACTTGGTGAACTGGGATTGTTCAAGCAGAACCTTGATATCGTCGAACAAGTGAACATATGGTAAGTTAATGTTTTTTTTTTTCCCTTCTAAAAATTCTACAGTAGAATTTGTCAGACACCATCGGACTAACTCAGGGATAATGATATTTAGAGATGAACAGCTCGCGAATAATGGAAAATATCTGGATTAAAGGATACCTACGGTAATAACATGGTGTCATGTCAGAGAGTCCCTTTTTTAAGCACTTCTTCTTCTTCTTGCAGAAGCACGCATTATCGGGATTCTCATCGGGTGTATATAAAAAATCGTCGGGCATTCTATAAAGATAACCCAACAGACCGTTGTTCGTGATCACTTCCTCTTTATAAACAATTGGTATCGCTCTGCAGAATGCTTTCCGAAATACTCTGAATACAGCATGTTTGTCTAGATTCGCCGGCAGTAATTCTCCCTCGGTGGCACCTTTTACTCTATTACAGATGGTATTCCTGTAACGTGAATAATTTGTTACATTAGAAGGCAACTCTTCTTCTAATCCCTCTGCGGTGAAATTTTTTTTGCATTCTCTGTGTAGATACTTACTCTGGATAAGTCTCATTTCCTTCTACCTCACGATATCCCCATTGCGACATTCCTGGACTGCCGTTGTACGATTCGATACTTAAATAACGTCCTTCCTCGTCCGTCATATTTTTATTTTTCCCGACGTTTAGGTGAACGATATTTTCTCCTTCGTCGTACATCTGCAGGTTATTAGTAAATAGATTTGATTAATACGCGATAGAATTTTTGTAAGCGTAAATCAAGCAAGAATTAAATTTAATATTACTCATTTCTTTTTTCCGATATGGGAACAAATATTTAACAGCGGATAATTACACCTGTCGATTTTCAAACGTTCCCGTTACAATGCAAGAGCAAATAATTACATATATTGTCAATGGGCATTAGAATATTGTGATTAATAAACGAGAATATTTATCATCCCTAACTGTATAATTCATTATAATTACACTATTACGATAACTCAGCGACAGATTGATATTTTTTTTTGCACTGTTTTTTAAACGATAAGGAAAACAAGTGTCACGTGATAGATCCTTGAAATATTGAACGCTCGAGTAGACAATTCATTTATCGCTCGAGAAAAACTGAATCAAGTCGATTGTGTTAATGATTGCACGCGTATTCACTCGGCTGTAATGAATCCCCTCGTCACGTGTGATATTATTTCAAGATTCAACTATGCCTCACCGCGTCGTTCGATTAATCACTTCAAAAGAGTCAGATAATCACGGAATCTCTAAAAAAATATAGACTGAATAAAAGTTAATATGTAAAGATCGATATTCTTATTTGTTTTTTAACGTTTTACAAATTAGTAACGTTTACGGGACGATGCTTAATACTTGCAGCGTTCTCTGAATTACGCGTCACTGCTGCACGATTACATGGAAATTACCGCACCGGTTTTGCTATAAAACCGCTAAATAAAAACAGCCGTCGAGGTAATTAGGCAAATGTAAAAATCGACGAAACGGACACTAAAGAACGATTTTCGTTCCAATTAATCCACTATGTCACGATTGGAACAACCTGTTCCTGACTAGGCAACGCGTCCGACGTGATTGTTTTTTTGTGCGGCTTAAAAGTCGTTAACACTAACCCCGTGAACTCTGAAACGTATGCATAAACAGTGAAAGGATCAACGATTGGAAATAATTGCGAAAACTGTCGGCAGTTCGGAACAGGTGCGTGTATTATATGTATACGATATTGCATTTTCTTAACGTGTCTGCCTGCGCGCACATATACACGTCACGTTTGCCTCATAATATTATAACACGGAGGGGCTTATTTGCATCGCTCGAAGGGGCTGTATGTGATCGCACAGACGAGCGTTACAGAAGTTTAGCAATGGGAAACTTGAAGTGATTCGGTCGATTCACGTGCAGACAAGGTTAGTCGGTTGTGTCAACAACCGGTATATTTTTCACACGATTTTTATGAACAGTCCTGTCGAGCTTATACGCAATACAGTGTGTTGCTCTGCGAACGGTGCATTCGCGACAAGTTAACGATCTCAAGGCACTCGTGACAGTGTGTCGTGGTTAATTATCGCGAGTTTCCCTTCTTCTTTCTTTATCTGCACGCATATTTGACATTCCAGATTGTCTCAACCAGGGTAAACTAAAGTTACTTTTCATATCTCGCGATTTTACATCGTCGAGTGTATTTTAACGCTCGATCGGTGTCGATAGATCATGACAATTTTTCTCGCTTTACGCCACTTTATCCAGCTCCGTATGACGAGAAACATTTTTTTTTTTTTAGACTATCTGTCGTACAAAATTATCACTGTTATTTCTTCGCGTATTCTGTTAACAAAAAAAGAAGATATTTATCGATCGTTAAGGTAACGGACAGTTGGTTATAAATGCGAAGACTAGTTACGAAAGGTGTCGTGCAACATGCACGGCTCTTTTTTTTTTTGCCAGCTGAAGTAAACGAGTTTATGAAATGTAGTTGCATTTTTCTATTCCACGAGTGTTATAAATACAGTTCGTTGATTATGAATGGAAACGTTAGAGGCAAAGGGAGAAATAGGTTTGACCGATTGTTTGTCTTGGGACGAGAACGCAGTTAAATCCGCGCGGGATCATTTTGATAAGCGTTCGAGGAAGTTCAGCGCAAAGTAGAAAACAAGTGAATATTAGCATAAATATCGCGCGAGTATTTTTCTTTTCCAGTTCATTGTGAATATAGGATGTTATATGTGTATTGTTAGTATCAATAAAACGATACCTTGCTTGTTTTTCCCTTTATCGACCGGTTCATCAAGATTTTTGCATTCGTGCAATAAGATGACGTAGCGTTACTACGTTGTAAATAGGAAAAAATGGTTTTCCATGTCTTCCTCCTTTTTTTTTGTGTGTGTTTTATACGTCAGGTGCTTAGAATATCTTTGTCGCGTGTGTATATCGTCGTGATTTGCTTCTTTCCCGTTTTTCTTGTATTTCTTATACGTCTTATTTACACACGAGTAAACACGATTACTCACCCTGTCGAGCAAACCGAATTTGCGGAAGTTGATGAAACTTGGCACGATTCCGCTCGCAAGATGCACCAAATTGTCCTCGTAGCCCCACAAATATTCGTAAACGCTTATGTTCAATATTGGCTTGCTGTCCAGCATATTCACCAGCCTGGTCCATGCGAAATTCATGAAAAATCCAGCATCGTGCAACGTCGACGAAATTCCCTGTGATGATAAAAATCGTCAGGATAATTGAACGAGAATAGGGTGACAATGTTATCTAGACGCAGGAATTATGGGTCGTGAGAAGGTATAAGGAGTTTCAATCGTTCCATCAGTGATTCCCGATTTTCTATCTTGCGTAAGACAGACTTGCGTTAATTCCGTGTTACCTAAACCTTAGACAAGCCTGATTTTCTAACGTTAGATAGGTATAGAAGGAAATTCGAGCAACGCAATGTTTGTTAATGTAATTACAGCGGTTGATTAATGAATTCATAGAATTTGATTCACGTTGATGTAAAGTGATGTAAAGATTGATTTCTGACGCTCTCGAAGATTTCCTATGTAACATTTATGGTAATTCATCGTACTGTACGCAGAATGCCGCCGGAAATTGGTAATTATTTTTTACATCACGTTCAATTTCATCATGATGCAAATCTTACAAATGCGTCTAGTGATTAACGCCAGATGATGGGGTATTATAAGACAAATGATTACTAATTGAATGAAATATTACGTTTAGAATGGTAATTTGGTAATTAATCGGCGATCATAACGTTCGTTAGCAAGATTTATGTAGGTTCTTTTCTCTTCTCACACTTATTTGTACCGTGTGATTGTTAAAATTTAGAACGTGATTATTGATAAGAAAAAAAAAAAACATCAATCTATTTTTCATGAAATTTCTGGTCAGAATTGTTTTCTTTCTTTTTTTTTTTTTTTTTTCGATTCGTTCTTCGTTGAAAAAAACATCGACGATATTTTATTGCAACTACGATAAGTATAATTTATTGAGTAATTTATCACACCGTCTGTCGAGAAGCAATTCATTATCAATTGACACATAAATTAGATATTTACTCACCAGCATCGGTATATTTGGAACGTTAAGTAGATCCACTTTCGGATCACCCCTCGACATTTCTGGTACGAACACTATCGTTCGTTTTGGGATATACGAGATCGTGTCGTTGTCGTACCAAGTGACGTTTTGATTTTCTAAAAATTCTCTAAGGAATATGAGAAATTTCCAATTACGAAATGTTCAATTTCAAGAATTTTCGTATTACTCACTGATAAACGTAGGGGCCGACCTCTTCTACTTTCAACTTTTCCCCGCCTTCGAGGAACTCATCTGCGTTGGTAATGTTGAATATGTACACTTTGAGGTAAACGTTAATGGGAGGCTTCTTCCACAGTTCGAAGAGCAACGAGTTCGGTGCCATTTGCATTTTCTAAAATGTACGTTCATCCAATTATTGTAACATTTCTTAATGTATCTCGATAAACAAATATCATTTAACTTAAATGTTCAGCATATGACAATTGAGAAAAGTATCGTTATGTTCGAAATGATGAATAAATTTCTCTACGTTCGAGCTTAAAGCGTGCACAAAAAATGATACGTAAATTTTCATCACTTACGTGTTCTATTATCAGTTTCACTGGATTTAGTACGTGTAGTACGTACGCCGTGATGAAGCATGCAATGCCCAGAAGAACTAATATCATACATTCTGCAACAGAAGATAACGATAATAATCGACGAAGGAAAAAAATAAATAAGTTTTATTTTTGAAAATTATCTCAGAGAGTATTCCGATTATATTTAATTTCCAGTTTTGAAGCTTTTGCTGAAAAATAACGGTAACGATACGTGCGACAATTAAAATTCTACAAATCATTATTTCTCAACTTTACGACCGCGATTAAACTTATAAACGTATTTATTTCAAGTGTCCGATAAAGGTTAAATTTACGTGAAAATCGTATTTCGAAAATACGAATACGGAGTGACAATGCGCATCGGTGTGCATTTCCACGTTTCAGGTCGCTATGATGCTGAAGTCTCAATTTATTGTCGGCACAGTGGAAACTCATGACACCTTAAACAACATGGTTAATCTTGTCTCAATGAAAACGAGTTACCGCCGCAATAGTGCCCATAGAAGGAATATAAAACGCTTGTGTTATGTTAATTAAGCAACAAGTATTACGATCATTTAAATCACAATTGTTCGTATCGAATCTTTCCGCTATTACATACACAGTGCGGGCCATCTAATTTTATCTTCTCTATATAGCTAAGGTGGTGGTACGAGAAATGATTTCAAAGGGTGAATAAGATGGAAGACGAATTTTTTCGCAAGAAAATTTCACGTTTGATTTAAAATTTTAAAGTTCAAAGTCATATTACTGTTCATGTTTAAATGCACATCAGTGTTTGCTACAACGTACAGTAGAAAAAATATATAAATTCGTGTGATAGAAAAAACAGGTGATCTTGAAACAAAGAGAAAAAGATGGTATTTATAAAGAAATTTTTCTTCCATAGCTAGAGAACTATAGCTTCCATTTCTCCACCGATATGTAGCTAAATGGAGGAGATTATTAGGTGGCCTGTTTCACGTGGCACACATTTGTGTATCGTTGAAGTGCGAATTATAGGTAATTCGCGTAAAAGTTCATTGACCTACACGGCTACGAAACACGTGCAAATTTTTGGCATTGAAAAAAAAAACAGGCTACCGTATTCATCAGACGTCAGACCGTCGTTAATGATTATGCTCGGTGATGTAAATGCAGGGGTAGATAGAGGAGCAAAAAACCTTATCGAAAAGCATTATCTATCCTTTCCTTTTTTTTTTTGTCTTTCAGATTGGACTCTACGTTCCAGTTGAAATTTATAACTCTTCTATAGGTTGGATAATTAATTGTGGGCAATTTACACTGGACACTGTCGTCAGTACAGTAATGTTCTGAATAATTTCTGGGCACTCTTCACGCGGTTTTTTAGCGGATACCGGAGGCTATTAGGTAGCAATGGAAACTCAATTGCATTTGTGTCTTATTTTTCTCGCAGAGAATCCTTGGATGCTTTTTATCGCCACTTTTTTTTCAGCCACGTCAGTAGTAACGATCTATTTAGCAACAAATTACAGTTGTGATTCGTAAAATTATACAATTTAGAATTTAATGCGCATATTTCAATCAGGATAATTCATTGCACGGTGAAACTTTACATTTCTGTTCGAGTTTCGTTCAATATGTTACGAGACGATTTCCACGAAAGGACGACGACGACGATGATGTTTTATGATACCATTAGTTGTCTGATTCGACCGTAAATTTCAATTTTCACGTAAAACCCCACCGTGTATATCCTACCGCGGCGAAATATTTATGTTTCGTGTATTTAGGACAAAAGTGTTATGAAACGTTCTTGGAAAAGATTTGATACGTGCGGATGCAAATGTTCCGAATGGGACAATTATGCCCTACGATACGTCATATGATTCACACTACTTGCTTACCTTGACTCAAATACTAGAAGGAAGACCTGTTCACAAAACGAAATCTTCGGTTTCATTGGTCGTGTGCTAATTAGCGAAAAATTACGGCGAGTCGCTGCGTAACGTCGATTATTATGGTTCGACCTATCAACACTTACTTTCGACCGTTCTATTACGCGTTTCAAACGACGCGACGACGTGAATTAACTTGTTCACAGTAAGTGGCGAGTGAATGATGCTGTAGTTTCGGACGATTCGTATCTCCGCGACGACAGATAGGGGAGAAAAATTAGATTTATGGTGATTGTTTGCAACCGGTTCTTTTGTGTCATTTGTGACTCAGATTTAACGCGGTTTATAGTAAACATTGTCACTTAACGGTACCTAAATAAAAAGGACTTTAATCCTGTATTCTTGTAATAAATTTTCACCTGACAAATTTGTACAATTTCGTTGAAATTCTGAGCGATACGACGTACAAAAACTTGCAATCGTTTCAACGTTTATATTTTTTCTTAAACATTGTTTACAGTTCATTAACGATTGGTTTTTTTTTTTTTAACATCGTCGTGTTGTCAGTAACTCGATGGAGGTTTGCTTCAGGTTTTGTGCAACTATAGCTGCACATTATCATATTGATATTAGTGATATTTTGTAGTCCATTCAGTAATTTAGCCTAATAGCATAATCATTGTATAATGTGGTTTAATGGAAGCGGTGTTAAGGATGACAGATAAGTCCAATTAGAGCGTCGACTTTTTTCATCTGTTTCGGTATCCAACTCCTCGAATACATATTGATACTCGAACGCGTTAAACGCGCCCAGTCGGCAAGGAATAATTACATAATTATAAACTTAGTTGCTAATTATCGGCAGTGGTATGGAGGCACAGAATGTGTGTAAACACAGCGGAAACATCGTGGCCTACAGATAATATGCGCGAGTGTCATTGTAATTTTCACGCGTACGGAAGCCAGAACTATTGATAACCGATTGTAAATCACATTGAAAGATTAATTAATCCGGGAATTATTTGCGTTCTAATCTGATACTTATCTTTCCGCAGATACGTGAGCGCGTGCGAACAGAATTCCCGGCAAATTTGCCAGTTTTATTAATAACACAATCTTTGCGAACGTCTATTTATCATACGACAAATGACAAATAAGGGAAAATTACGTATTACTTTAAGCAATCGTTGACAGCGAAATCAATTTGAATAATTCAACGAATTCTTGCTCATTATACACTTACAAACGGGCGACTTCTTGTTTTGCCCCAACATATTTGGTGCACTCAGTCTAATAAAGAGATAATGATAAACATTTGTTTATTTTTTTCTGTCCTGTTTTCTGTCTGTGTCTGTGTTTTATTTGATTTTTGTGGAAATAATGCTATTTTTTGAAAAATACCAATGCATACTAATTTAATGGGACGTTTAATATCACATTGATGTTACCTTTTTAATGAAACGTATTCCTGTTGCATGTCACCGTGTGCCGTCATCATGAACATCGGTACACCTTACTTACTTGTCCCTAATGTCATGCCAGCGAAAGCTGTGTTAATGTTATTATGAGCTAACTTATAATTGGCGCTTCTGACAGATGTCATTTACTTTTTTAATGCAGCCACGCGCGTTGAATAGAGAACAATTTGCAGGACAATCGGTGACTAAACCGAGGCAGGAAATTTCTCTTGTCGTACATGTAGTACAATTGATTGTGTATCGTTACGTTGTTTGGTTTCGTAATAAGAAAAGTGACGAACCGAGGCATTGTCTTTTTCTCTATGATTAATTCGTAAATTTTTCTACGATGATAGTTGCCGGAATTTTTCCAACTTTTTCTCCCTCTTTCTTCCTTTTCGGACTCAATTTTATCCTCACCATTGATATTGATATATGTACTTACATATGCACGATCTGTTTGATTAATATGTTTATGACTACTGTTGACTTTCTGAAGTATTCTTGACTTTTTTCTCGTGTAAAAAAATTATTCTCTTTTTTCTTTTAACGCATCCATGAAAGATAGATTTATTCAGGAATTTTGTAGGGTATAAAGTACGCGTGTGAAACGATACACGCGATAACAGCGATACGTTTACCGAAGTGATAGTAAAAAACAAAAAATATAACGAAACGCTATTAATAATCGAAGAGAAAAAAAAAAAGAAAAACATCGAATTGATTAATTCCTTTCCGCTGGATCGGTAAGCAGCAGTTTCGATCATTCACAAAACGAAACATCGTACAGCATCGTACGGATAAATGTCCTGGGGACAGGCTTGGACGGTTTCTCCTCCGTGAACGATCGCGAATGTTGTTTCGATCGAAAAGTCGTCACTTCTGCAAACGTTGATTAATCATTGTCTCAACGATAAATACAACGGGGTCCGTCACATGATCAATAATATTGTCAATACTTTTTTCGTCAACGTTCATCTGTACGAAAAAGCAAAATAGCATTGAAACGAATTTAGAATATTATTGATCGTGTGTGCGGAAAAATACTATTTTCCTTGAAATATAGTTCACGACCTGAAACGCAGTACCCAAGTCTTTATACATCGGTAGACAGAAACATGTTATCCAAGTGTAAAAATCACGATAATTCGATCACGGGGTCAAGATCAAACTGATTTCCTATACTACACGTGTTTATTTTTCGAAAGTCACTTATATAACTATGCATTTCGTGTCACCAGAGACGATCCATTACAAGCAGAAGTGTCTGTTCAATGGCCGAGACCTTTCGTTTGTAACAGCAGCCTCTTTCACGCCGGTTAATTTATTTTGAGGATATGCTAATATGACGTCTCGTGTCATCCGACCAACGCGAAACACGTTGACCATGGGGTATTCCCCTGAACGGCAAGAGGTCAAGAGAACCGTGGACCATGAAAATATGATTTTAAGGGACAGCCTTAAACTGGTCCATGATCCAGTTGTTTCTTCAATGGACCACCCCACGTTTTATGGTTCTGTCGTTAACCGACGATCAATTTCAAGGTTTCCATTGCTCAATAGCCATGAAACGCGCCTTCTCCGCTTTTTCGGACCATTCAAAAATTGATTGCCGCGTGGGTCATCGACGAGCCACGCTGGACTTTTTGTTTGAATCGTTCGGTAAGTTCATATAAGGAGAAAATAATTAGAGCAAATGATTATACAGTGCAATCGTACCGTGGGCAAATCGGTGACCTACGGTGCGGCATAATGGTACACAATTTTCAATTCGCCAGGTAGCCTGCTGCTATTGGAAAATAATATGTACAATGAACGCAGGCACGTGGATCAACGTGTTGAAATATCGTATCGATCGTACGATAAACGTGTATTATGTCTAGAACGAAGATGTACATATTGCGCAATCGTGAAAATTATTATTAATAATTAACTCCTATGCTCTAGAATGGTAAATATCCAAACATTTCTGTTTTGCATTTTTATCTTATCTAGACAAGTGTTTTCGTCTGTTTCGTTTCGCGAGTCGTCTCGATTTTTCTTCGATCTTTGACTTTTCTCGTTTTGCAAAACTACGGTGCAAGTGTACTACGCCGACGATTTTGTACGCGAATTACGCACGAGGAAGCAGGGTTCTGTCGATTCAAGTAAAGTCTGTGTGCAACTGTATCGCTAACGTAGAATGACAATATTATAGAAGAGAGTAAAAAAGAAGAAAAACTATTAACTATAGGTCTGACAAGTGGTATTGTTCGTAAATTGTCCTTTCATTCGCTTTTGCTCTACCATGCATCTGGTATGAGTATTTTTTTTCTCAGTGGACCACTTTGCATAGATCGTTTTAGAATTTTAAATGATCGATCTTGCGTGTGCGTAAGGGCGGCGAGAAGGAAATCGCGTTAAGATTCCATGCTGACGATGATATCTTTTTCTTTCTTTTTTTTTTCTTTTTATGCAATTAAGTCTGTTTGATAGAGAGAAGAATCTATATTAGTCGTATATTACATTTATGAAATTACACATGTGCCCGACAACGGTCCACGATCAACATACGTGCAATTACTCACTTTTGTACGGTTGCAGGGGGACTGTGAATTTCATGGTTGCGACCTGGTTTGCACGTGTCTTGTTGCTTTCCTTTTTCCGTCTCCTTGATCGGTAAGGTCCTGAAATATAAGCAAATATTGCGAATCGGCTTATTTATCGTGAATGCTGAAATAACGCGGTAACCTTAATCTGTCTCGTTGGGCAATATTTGATTGCGGTGAAGGAAACAAAAAAATATATATATAGGTAAAAATGTCAGGTTAGCTATTTTCAGAAATAATCCTTCGATTATCTTAGATGTTACTCGCGCGTAACATAATAATGATAATCGCGTTATCTGAATTACAAGTGAACTCATTCATAAAGGTCGACACAAGAGAGAGAAAAAAAGTCTATTCAAGTTCACGTTCAAACAACGTCGTATTCCTCGCAGAAAAGAGCCTATGTGTCCGCTTTGTTTCATTGAACGTTGCAGGAAGTTCGGAATATCGTGTGCAAACATGTTGGATGTATGTAGGTTCAAGAAAGGTTACACTCGAGGGGAATTGTTCGCGGAACACGACAGTTAGAATCGTATTGACGATGGGAAAAAAGGCGTTTTGTAAGTTTGAATGCGGTATACCGTGAAGTTTGTTCAAGTTATTGGCGCTTTAGCCAGGTGTTTGCACGCTGGTTCAGAATAAATTCTCTGTTTCTTGGTAGAATTTTTGTTACCCCGTACAGAGGCTCGTTCTTTTCACGTTGTTCCCCGTGTCCAAGGGCTCTGTCTCTCTCGTGAGTCACGACCAAGAGAGGACACATTTACATCGCGCTAATGTAGATCTTCTTCTTCGGCGATGTGTATCGAGGATTTGCAATGTTAATTAACGGTGGTGTTGCGGCCGAAAGAAGCAGCCTGTAAACTTTTATCGCGACCATGAATAATGGATCCTGTCGTGTCGAACCAGCCGACGAACTTGTCGTTAGATTGTTCGCAGATCGATTGAACATTCTTCGAATGCGCAACTTCTCGTATTTCTGTTGTGTTTGTTATTATAAATAAGGAACATGGAATTGTTGAAATGCGACAGGTATTCGTCGAGATCAATTAGACGATCATGGTTGAAAGAAGTTGCAGATAGCGTTTCATTCTCCATGATTAATGTCTCTATTCGATTGAAATAATTTTGCGATATCGATCTTTCCTTGAGGTTGTCTTGGGTTTTCGGTTCTTCTCAGATGTGTTGAGAAATGTCAAGTTTCCTTTGGCATTTGCATAAAACGCCCTATTTTGCTTTTTTCTACGTACGTCTGAGTTGAATGTTCTCCGAGATACAGGTCATTGGACACACAGCTTCTTTTTTCTTTTAAAAATTTCATAAGAATTAATCGAAAGGTTGTCGAATAATAGATTTTCCATTTTACACGTTTACTTTCCACAGAGCTAGATTTTCATCGATTTTACAACTGCAATTTCATGTTCGTTTGGTTTTAGACGACGAACGTTCATGATTATTTCATGTATACTTTGTAGTAGAAAAGTTTTCGATCCTTGAGATTTGTAAATGTTGAAACAAAAGTTTCGACATTTGTCTAACGATGAATCGATAATAAATAAATAAAAAATTTAAATATACATTGTCCGAGGCAAATTTTAAAATAGTGAATTCGAAGTACTCGTGAATAGGAAACTATGTTTGTTCACTCATGAATATTCGTTCCTAGACGTGGAATAGTCAATTTGATAATTTATTTTCTGAAATTCAAATATTTACCGCAGTTAATGCGATCGTATTTGCATTTATTTCGCCTCGAACTTCCCCGATCTGATTTGTCTGGTGACTACAACGCTTGGTTAGGCAGACTTCTTGTTGAGCAGCATGAACGCCGAGTCGCGTGATTTACAGATTTCAAGGGAAGGTTATCTTATGTTAAATGTTCTCCAGGGAAGATGAATATCAGCGATAAAAATATATTTAAAAAACGAATCAAGGTAGTTGCTCATTTTCTTTCAAACAGCCAAATATTCGATCAAAACAATCTTTCAACCTTTTGCAAGATAAAAGCATACTTGTTTTTTTTTCACAAACGCAGAATATTCAATTTTTCACGGTAGGTATATCAATTTAATATTAAATTTGTATTTAAATTTAACATTAAGAAATGTAATCAAATTTTCAACTTACTCGACAACATAATTGTTTCGAAAATTGAACGAAAACAACGAAACATAAGAATGGTGAACTTCCAGAAGACGCAGTAACGACTTTTTTACGCATTTAACTATTTTTCCACGTATCAAAATGCACGATTTTCTTTCATAAATCTTCCATTGATGAACTTCTATATTTTTACAATGATATATTTGTAAATAATGACGCATGATAGAAACCACTTCTTTCGAATTTTACACATACAACTTCACTGGAATCGTGCACACTTAACAGCTCTTCGAGGCATAATAAAGTAAGTGATCTCTGCAGAACAAGCTATCTTGTCATCTTTCGAATACGCGTCTTGCATCGATATCAAAGCATAAAAGCGAACGAGAGAGCATATGCAGAATCGTAGGTACGTGACATGCGTGTCTACCAGGCATCACTTGCAGGAATCAGAGCTATCAAGCTGTTCGAAGACAATATATTCCGCATATTTAACAACGCCATAGTGCGATCATGTGAACAGATTTCGCGGTCTTTTGCTCGGCAATTTAGCGATCGCGATCTTTTCGTCTCGATATGAATGGTACACGGAAAACGATTTTTCTATTGAAGAAAATGGAAAAAATTGTTCGTAACAAGAAACAATCTCCTTCAAATAATTAATTTCAACGTTGACACAATTTTAACTCGTATCCTCAAAAAATTAGAGGAGAAAGATCGTTGAGTAAATATTCGCATCTCAATTTGTACTATTTGTTGTTTCAATAATTTCTGGTAGGTACTGTCTGATTTTATCGGGTCATTTTTGTCGAATTTTAATTTTATTCCTAGCTGTACTTTTTATATGTACCCTGTACTTACCGAAAAAGGATGTCCACACAAGTAAAAATTCCAGCAATTCAAGGGAGGAAAGTTCGATGGCACTAAGCCGGAAACACCACTGTTCACACTTTCATTGTTTTTTTTATCACGGTGAAATTTTTCTTTCTGAAATAAAACGAATGTCACAAATTTCTTTCGACAATCAAAACAATTCTCTGAGTTTATTGCACGAATTTATGATAAAATTAATGCCCGCTCTGCGGTTCGATTAACGTGAAAATTCGTGACTCCGTTCCGGTGAAACACTTTTCTGTCGTTTGCTGCCGTACACTCCTTCTCTATCTTGTTGTTAGTGAGCATGAGTCCTGTGTTCACTCTGCTTTATACCGTCTCCTAATCACTAACCCCCATACGACACCGACGGAGACAACGTCCACGACTTTTCTTGTTGCTCCCGACATCGGTGTGCTGATAGTTAGCGATTCGTTTTAGCGGAAGCGATTAATCGAAAGCAATTTTTCTTGAACGAGAAAAAAAATTCGTAGTACGATAAAGTCATTCTGCCTCACTGAATCATTATTGTAATTTGCAAAAATTAATGTACCAATCAGATTGAGAATTGATATATTATTATTATTATTATCGACAATATTTTACATTTAGTGTGAAAGAGCGATGCTGATAAGTGATTTTTCAAACGATACACGCTTGTACATGAAGATTTTATTTGTGAAGAAAGAGGAAGAGGAAAATGTAAAAGCAAAGTTCTCTTTTGGTTTTACCAATTTATTTATTCACAGCGAAAAAATTCAACATTTTATGTGCTTCTTTTTTTGAACGAAAATGTTTTTTCTCACCGTTAAGTTGGACAATTTTATGTCTTGTTTCTTTGCATTACTGTAGATATGATTTTTCTTGTCGTTTCTTCTCTCCCTAAACGAAGGAATAAAAGTTATTCCTCTGCTTCGAGTTGTGTCTCGAAAAAATCCAAGTATCCTGCAATTCATAGAGCGATATGAAATATTTATTTCCCGTGAGAATGTTATTACAGAAAGTATGTTTTAACCATGAAAATCGTGAGGTATTGTAAAAAATACGCAACCTGTCTTTTAGAGAAACTGAGCGGCATTCCGGCTATCGAAAGCAGGTTACTAAATTTTTTAGATGAAGGATAAAGGGTATTTCAGCATTATGGGGAGAACTGTGCCAACTATTCGCCAATAAAATATCGAACTTTGTAACATCCAAGTAATATCCTAATATTCCATTGAATCGACACATTGTTAGTTCTTAAATTCGATCTGCAATAATTATTTCAAAGACCGATAAATTACAAAGATTCGCAGTAAATGTTCTTCAAAATTTCGCATACGTATATCGCAAGAAATCGATAACACACGCACACACACACAAACATGAAACAGTGATTTTTCTGAACTGTTTAGTTTGCGGAAAAGACCAGAATCTGAGCAAGCTAATCACTAGTATTACGGGTTTGTTATACCTAATTGTTAATTTTATCCAAGTCAATTACGAAATTCAGGGTGCTCCACTAACTTCGTGGCTGGTTTTTTGCTTCTTTCGGTGGCAAGTTTAAAGCGATTCGAATTTACAACGCTTTAAATTACTTTCTAATATCTTTTACTTCTCTTTACTTTTACCACAAATAATTGTATCTGTTACGCGTCGTATTGCTTATCTTACGAATGCAATGTTAACATCTCGTACAGAGTTCATTTGGAATTAACAACATTCCTCTCATTTCTCTCATTGACGCAACTAGCTATCACTTAACGTAATTATCAAATTGATCGATGCAACCTGTGCCACAAGCAGGTAATAACTCTTTCAATTTGCGTAGCAAATACTTCTCATAACGTTACTTCGTCCTCTTTTATTTCTCTTTCACTTTACATTCTTCGCATACTTCTCTGCTATTTTGGTAATTATTAGGTGCCGTGGAAAGTTCTTGCCCTTTTTCAGTGAAATATATAACAAAGTGACGTATTTTTCATAACTAAATGTTTCGAAACAGTGAATTCTTTTCTCCATTGCATTCAGCAACCAATTGGGGATTTGTTTCAATATTTTTTCGCAGATGATCGTTCTTCACCACCGTTGGTTTTCCTGTTCCGTGATTCGTCTTCGAGGATTTCATCTACAGATCGAAATTTCATAAATAAACATTGTGCTCTACTTGTGCTTACTTATCGTAAAGTTGAGGAAATGACGAATCGGTTGATGTAGAACATTTTAATAAAATATACATATGCATAAGGTAACTATGTATAAGAGTATCACATAAAATGTGATTGGATTAAAAAAAAAAAAAAGAGAGAAAAACGACAAAAGTTTCCATGTGATATTTTAAGACCACTTTAACTTTTTCTTCCATTTTTTTTTCACTCAAGTTAAGATTAATGCGAGGTTTTTTTCTTAAGCTGCTTCTCCAAAAATAGCAGAGTTACAAATATTATTTTCATATTCGAACAAAAAAAAAAACATTTACCCAGCAAAATTAATTTCCATAAAAGAAATAGAATATTTATATATTCACAAATACATTTGCGTTACAGCGTTACAGAGACACCCTTACTTGCCAACTTTCGGGCGCTCGGAAATCTGTGAAAATTAATAATCAGCGGGAAAAATCAGCGAATGATATTCGCACGTGTATATTGTTGTGTAGATTACCTACGTGTATCGTACGTAAGAAATAGTTTTTTCGCCTGTAATTCATCATGTATAATGAGAGGATCGTAATTATTCACAAGGCACGAATGAAGAAAAATGATTTGCCGAAATAACGTTGATGAAATTCAGCGAGCGACGATAATATGATCCTTTAACGATAACCATGAACTTCTCTGTACCATACTCAACGAAGTATCCTTTAATTAAAATAATGGAAGATAATGACACTTGTAACATTGATTAATGATTCACAAGACTTGGCGAAGCTCAGGAAATATGTTTTTGGTACTTCATCCTATGACGTTTATCACTTTTTACCATTGTCCGCGTCATACATTTTTTCACCACGCCTGATGTTCAGAAATCCATTAAAAGGATATACGCACGCTCGTTCGAGAACACCTCGAGATTAAATGCCGATATGGGAAACGATGTCGTGCACAACAATGTAAAATCGTCCGGGAAACACCGGAAAATTCTTTTCTAACTGTCAACCTACGTTTTTTCATCTGTTTTCGAGAAATACCGGGGAGTCTGTTTACCTGTTCATGCAAAACACACGCTTCTACGGTTGTTGAATAAGGGTGGAAAAAATTGTTTGTTAAAATAGCGATAGCTTCGATGGCAATGCTGTGACTCGAGGGGGAAAAAAAAAAAAGGTTTGTATAATACATAGTTAATGTTCTGCGCACAATTAATCACATTATTTGAATAAAGCAATCCGTTTTCGTTGATATATGTAATTATACTTTTAGTTGAGGGGAGAGAATGATACTTGGATTAAGTATAATTATGAATGGCTCGACGGAATTCGAAGTTATTATGTGTTGAGAAAGAGTTCGCTACTTCTGGTTTTACAGCTTACGGAATGATTCTAAACTTTCATATTTTCCCGCTCTTTAGATGGTTTGTAGCGTCGAGGTTCAGTTTTTTAAAAATAGCGCGTCTAGCTTATCGTTTCGTTGACGAATTTAAACGGCGAATTAGGGAAAAGGAAGTTACAATGTCATGCTCGAGCAACGAAAGAAATTATCAATTTGGGCTTGGTACTTTTTTCACACGTATTTGTGAAATTTTTCTCACGATAACGCAATGACAACTAGTTGGGTAGATCTACCATTTTCTACCGTATCATTCACGAGTAAACACTTAATACTTATCTACCATTGACGCGTCGAGTATCAATGATTCGTAGCGTACTCTACGTTTTTATTTCCTTCGAGCATCAATCGATCGATTCACCGAGTCGATTGTTCACCGGGCGTCTTTATCAGCGCGAGTCCCATTTCGTAATAATCGGTCCGGCTAATAAATATATATATTTCTTTTTCAGCATCTATGATAAATGCTGTGCGCCGCGTACCATACGGGTGCTCCTTTCATTTCAACGTTTATGCAATGATGCTGTGTATGTTGCCGTCGCGTTTATGCGCGTTGAAATATATTTCACAAGTAAAAGTCAACGTTCGTAACGGCAATATAAAAGGGGGAGAACAGGCATTTTGCTCGACTGGGAGGGTTAGTTGCATAAATCGCGGGGCCGTTAAAGCTGGTTAAATTTGTTAATTATCCTCTATTAAAAAAACGCGACGCTGGAATAGGATATGGTGTAATAGCTTGTAAGCTCAAACGTCATCGTTACAACCAATTTCACCAGATTTTTTTGAAACGTTTCCGATTCTTCTCGGTTCTCGAAATGTTCTAACATTGTGACCAGAAAGTAGTAATTACTTTCATGGAACCGGCATAAAACTGTGAAGAGAAGTTACGTTTCGAAGAGTTATCCTTTACGTTTGATTCATTTCAACGGTCAAAGTGTAACGTACCAACGTGATGCTTGTTGATTTATTATATGATAATTACACGGTGTTTGTGAGTCACGGTCGAATGATCTCTGAATATTTATGTAAAAACTCGGCGAACATTGCTTAGATTTCTACTTTTTTTGCTCTCTTTGTACTTCTTTCCCTCCGTTTCGCGTTTGAAAAAGCGCGCGAAGGATCGCCGATCGATCGAAGATTGGGAAAGGAGACGGAGATTCGATTTTACAAAGTTACTTTCGTTTCTCCTTGCTTATTTGTCGCAAACGTTTATACAAGATGTTTCATTGCAATCTTTTCACACGATCATCCTTCCGAGTATTCGAAAATATGTGTCAAGTAAAAGTTATTCTATTTCTATGTGGTTCCAATGTTTCAAGGTGACTTTTGTTTTTGTTTCTTTTTTTTCTTTTTTTTATCGAAACAGTATTTCTTTTTTACTTAGACGTGTTCTCCACTCTAGGGCAAGTTCATTTTCCTATGACATGTGGGTCTTCCAACGGCTAAGAAACATTTTGTGGATCGTTTCTTGTATTCTCGCTTCTGTAATACATCCATATCTGTATTCCGGTGGTGAGTGGAACGCCTTCCAGAATTTTTAGAAATTAAATTTTTTAGTTAAAAAGAAAATTATTATAAGGAACTTTAGGCAGTGTACCGTTAAAAAAGTATGGATCCACTAAGTAACCATTTACAATTCCACGTCAAATATTTAACAAGTTATAGGTAAATGAACTCGTCTTGGAGTGGGCTATATATTTAAATAAAAATATAGCAATCTATTCCATTTAAAACAACAAAGATCACCTTGAAATATTGGAGGCGCTTTCACTTAGAACAAAATTGTGCTGATAAGATGTTCCTTATGAAATAGTACGTTTGACGTTACATGAAAACATTGTAATAGAGTATTTACCTTGTGTACGACGGAGATTCGATACTGCAAACTTCTTGAGAATTTCCGTTTATTTTTTTCTTGCATGTTTATCACAAGCGTTTGTATGATATTACGAATTATCGAGATCAAGGAGAACAAAAAAATGGAATCGTACACTGATTTACGCTTTAGTTTTCTTTGAATTTATAATTTATTCTGATGCTACCAGGTAGGTTAGACGTCGTATCCTGCATGTGAATTATACCATGCTTATTGGAAAAATAGTTTTATTATTTGGCACGTTTTATATGTCCTCTCGTCGCCGAGGGAATCATCTTTCAAGTAGTAAACGTTCGTCTAGACGCGCGTGTTTGGAAAAAAACAAAACCAAAATTTATTTTGATCGACGAAGATTCCTCGAACACGGTAAAACGTATTTAGAATATTTCCAGTGGGAAATTGTTACTCATAAGAGTCCAAAGATGATTCTTTTTTTTGTTTTTTAATTAAAATATTTCGAGTGACGAAAAACGCGAAGAATGTGTTTGCGTGCTTTTATACACGGATTAAGTATGCGATGAATAATGTGATTTTCTTGAGTGGTTTACGAACGCCACGAGGTGACGATTGAAAAAATATACATGTAGAAAGATAACTCGAAGAAAATTACTTGCTTCAAAGATGACCCGTGATAGCTTTACCTTAGAACACGTTTCTTTGCCAGAATCCACTTGCGCCATAATTATCCGGAAGATCGCAGCAGTTATTAATGTTTCTCATCAATTATTTATGAAGGTTTCTTTAAACAACTAAAATTGCATAGAGTGATACGCGACGCAATTTGCGAATATAATTCACGGACACACGTACACATGATTGACTTCGTAATAACGTTTCTAGTAAAGTCGTCTTTTTATTTCTACGGTTTGATTGATTCTTCAATGTGTGGTAAAAAGTAACGTATAAATAATCATATGCGGCATAAAAAGAACCAGACAGACGAATTACTTTAATTTTGTTTCACGAAGAGTAAAAAGTAAGTTGATGAAGTTCAAGTAACATGAATGATTGGAGTAATAATACCAAGGTATTATTAATAAAAATTATTGTAACTGAAAGGAAATAAAGTAAATAACAGTATAAAAAAGAGGCTAGTAGTATATTTTATAATTCATTAGAAACATTGTATGTTCTACAGCAATTTTAGTTAAAGAAAATTGAAAGTCACTCATCATAATGATTAAAGACAGTTTAGAAGATATCAACATTTAAAAACAACGGCGTATTTTACATAGCATCGATTAGTATGTTTGCTTCAATACAAATTGTTAGCTTGAGTTTGTAAGAAAGGGGATTATTCTAATCACAAATAAATAAACGTTTGCAATTTTATTAGCATTACAAAAATATTGTTAAAAAGGTTATAGTGATGAATGTGATCAAAGGAAAGTTGTTATAATAGTAAAAAAAAAATGAAAAAATGTGGAAAACTGATAGACAAATTTTTGGAAATTTTCCAATTGTTATTTCAAAACAGGTATCTTACGTTCAAAAGTATGTTAATTAGGGGATGATAAAGCTAAAATGATTTACATAAATGTACATTACTTTGTTTAATAATATATTCCATTTATAATACTTTATTATTGAAAAACAATTAGATTTCACTTAGTATTTGAAACTATTAACTTTTTAACAAAAATTATTATTTAATTTTATATCTTTCGAAATTTAGTCAATAATTGTGACAAAGAAATCATTTCCGTCGTTAAATGTCGCATATTTTTTATATTTTAAAATATTGTGCGATAAATAAAGTTTTTTTTTTATTATTCTTAATAACATTTGTTGCACTTTGTTTAATAAAACAACTTTTGATTCTCGTCACTTTTTTACGTATTA